GATCATCTTTTCTTTTTGGTATAGTGACTCTGTGTATTTCTTCTGTCTTCTTTGGATGCTTCCTGTGTCGTTTAATGTTTTCCCCATAGAATCCTGCACTATTGCAACTCAAGGCTTGGATTCTTTCTTCAGTTGTTTCAGCTTGAGAAATGCCGAGCTTGCTTTTCCTTTCGGTTTTCTAACTCTAGGTATTTGCACATGACATTATAATACTTTACTGTTTCTTATATAGTCTCCCTTTGAAATCTTCTGTTCAGGTCGTTTACGTCATCATTTCTTCTTTTTGCTTTAGCTACTCTACGTTCAAGAGCAAATTTCAGAGTCTCTTCTCACATCCATTTTGGTTTTTCTTTCCAGTCTTTTTAATGACCTCTTGCTTTCATGTATAATGACCTTGATGTCATTCCACAGCTCATCTGGTCTTTGGTCATTAGTGTTCAATGCGTCAAATCTATTCTTGAGATGGTCTCTAAATTCAGGTGGGGTATACTCAAGGTTGTACTTTGGCTGTCGTGGATTTCTTCTGACTTTCTGCAGTTTCAACTTGAACTTCCATATGAGCAACTGATGGTCTGTTCTGCAGTCTGCCCCAGCCTTGTTCTGACTGATGATATTGAGCTTTTCCATTGTCTCTTTTCACAGATGTAGTCGATTTGATTCCTGTGTATTCCATCTGGCGAGGTCCACATGTATAGTTGCCATTTACATTGGTGAAAAAAGGTGTTTGCAATGAAGAAGTCATTGGTCGTGCAAAATTCTGTCATCGGATCTCTGGCATCATTTCTATCACCAAGGCCATATTTTCCAACTGTCAGTCCTTTTTCTTTGCTTCCAACTTTCACATTCCAATCACCAGTAATTATCAATGCATACCGACTGCATATTCAGTCAATGTCAGACTGCAGAAGTTGATAAAAAGCTTCAGTTTCTTCATCTTTGGCCTCAGTGGCTGGTGCGTAAATTTGAATATTAGTCATATTAGCTGGTCTTGTAGGCGTATGGATTTGAATATCTTTTCTTTCTCCTTCTTACCTTATTGCTCAGGCTAGAACTTCCAGTACAGTATTGAATAGCAGTGGTGAAAGTGGACATACTGGCCTGGCCTGTTCTTAGGGGGGATGATTTCAGTCTTTCTCCATCAAGTATGATGTTAACTGCGGGTTTTCATAAATGCCTTTTAGTGTATTGACGAATTTCCCTTCTATGTCTAGTTTATTGAGTGTTTTTATGATGAAAGTGTCTTGGATTTTGTCACATGCCTTTTCTGTGTTGATTGAGATAATAATGTGGTTCTTTTTCTCTGTTTCATTAACATGGTATATTACATTGTTTAATTTTCTTATATTGAACCATTCCTGGGATAAATCCCACTTCGTCATGTTGTATAATCCTTTTAATATGTGATTGGACTCAGTTTACTAATATTTTGTTGAGGATTTTTACATCTAGATTCATAAGGGATATTGGTCTGTACTTTTCTTTTCTTGTAGTGTCTTTATTTGGCTGTGGTATCACGGTATTGCTGGCCTTACAGAAAGAGTAAGTAATAAGTAAGTGTTCCCTTACAATCATTGCTGTGTTTGAACCCATTAACTTGAACCTTAAAACAGCAACAACAATAAAAATGTATTTATTGCTACTGCCTGGTTTCTCTGGCCTCCAGCTGCCCAAATCTTCAGCTTTAGGCAGACTTATAGTTTGCCTAGAATGTGGTGTCTAACTTTGATTCCACTGATTTTAGGCCTCCTGAATGGCCTAGAACCCACCTAGCTCCTGATCTCCCCTCCCTCAGGTTAGGTCTTGGAGACTGGAAAGTTGGCCCCTTCAGACTAGAGTTCTGCCCTGTCTGCCATCTGCCTGCCAGACAGAGGGTCTCTCACTGCCATACTGTGCCACTGCCCTCAGACTAGGGCACGACCTTAGGAGCGGGTCTGCCACATGGGATGCTGGGCAGACCTTGCAGAATTTCCTCCACCTCCCCTCCAAGAGAGCAGTAGAAATTCACGAGGAGTTGGGATCCTTTGGTGCTGTTGAAGTCACGTTGTTTGTTCCAAGTTTATAAACAGCAGAAGTCATTCCTTAGTTTTGAAAGCTGAAGTTCCAGCGGATGTCACTTAAGTAGTTTGCCATATGAAACCGCTGGAGATCATTTCTGTAAACACCATTGACACACTCGCCTTTTGCACGTCTTGGGTAATGAGAAATGGCTTCCATGGCTACTACCAGCTTTTTGTATCTCTGGAATTTTCCTTGAGACAACGCTTCTCTGGAAGGAGTTAGAAATGAATCAACCTTCAGAGAAGGAGGGCTGGCCAAGGCTGGGCCTGGAGATCCAGTTCCCTCTGCACCTGCCTGCCTCAGGACCCCGAGACTGAAGCCTGGCCTTGGGGGCTGGGAGAGCGGTGAGCTTCGTGAGGAGAACAGGCCTGATGGTGATGCGGGGGAAGGAAGGGGTCTAAATAGGTGTGCGCTTCTCCAGTAGTCTGGCCTTGGGGGCTGGGAGAGCGGTGAGCTTCGTGAGGAGAACAGGCCTGATGGTGATGCGGGGGAAGGAAGGGGTCTAAACAGGTGTGCGCTTCTCCAGTAGTCTGGCCTTGGGGGCTGAGGGAGCAGTGAGCTTCACGAGGGGAACAGGCCTGATGGTGATGCGGGGGAGGGAAGGGGTCTAAACAAGTGTGTTCTTCTCCAGTAGCCTGGCCTTTTCAGATTAGTTGTGATGTGCCCTCACCTGCCCCCCTATCCTGTCGTTGCCACCTCAGGCCTCCCAGCCTTCAGCGGCAACCTGAGCATGAGAAAAGGGCAGTGCCGAGGTTCTCCAACCAGCCCTCCCTGCCCAGTGACCCACTCCTGTCCTCCAGCACAGCCATCCCCCCCCACCCACTCCTTTTGTCTACCCTCTCTTTCCAGGCTTCTGGCGGGGCATGATCCACAGTCTCCAGCGTGGGTGTGAGAGCTGGCATTGGTCTCTTCCCCTCCCCCTAGGAGAGGGAGGCCACAACGGGGGCACCCCGGAGCCCAGGTCCATCCCCCCTTTCCCCAGTGTGTCCCATCTGCTGCCTGCGAGCCTCTTTGCAGGCTTTGATCCCAGGCTCCAGCCAAGGTGGGGGAGTGGCTGATACGGCCCCTCTTTCCTGGATCCTTCCCAGGCACCTCACAGCCTCTGCCCTCACCTTGGTCTTTGGCACCCACTCTCCACCTAGCCCCGGCCATCCCTGGGCTACGGGGGCCAGCTCCCAGTCTCACCAGGAAGGCTGAGATACTGCACACCCTCAGACCCATGAGCTGGGGAGGGCATGAAAGAGGCTGCTCTCAGGGCCTGTGTCCCAGTTATGGGATGGCTCTGTCCTGGCCCAGGCCCCTCCAGGGAGTGTCCCTCTCTGTCTCTGGTGTCTGGGTGTCCATCTCTGTGATGAGTTTCACTGGTAACCTGCACTCTACTTCGGAGAGGGCTGAGGGTGCACGCATGCCTCCCCAGCCCCCCAATCTTTCTCTGCACACGCCAGACAGCATGCTCCAGCCCCAGGGGTGGGGAGGCACTGGGGTGGCATCTGCCTTCAGTGATAAGCTCAGCATAGGCCAGAGGCTGGGATGGGCAAGCAGGGCCTGCCTGGACCACTGAAGCCAGCTGAGGAGTGGGGGCATGGACGGGCTGGTGGGCAGACTAGGACAGGGCATCCGTGATAAAATGTTCCTTCAGTTACAGGCTCTAGAGCAGCCAGGTGCTTAGATGTGGATCCCCCCGGGGTCTTGTGAAAATGGGGATTTTTGTCTTGGGTGGGGCTTGAGATTTTCTGTATCTCACAAACTCCCAGTTTATGCTGAAAATAAGAACTGTAGAAATAGAATGTGAATTAAACCTAGAGAATGCTGTGAGAGAAATTAATAAAAGGAAGTACAGTACTTGAAGAAGAGCGCCTGGTATACAGATCTTGCAAGAGAGAAGACAAGAGAGAAAGCATTTACAGTGAGACCAAGAAATAAAAGAGGAGGAGTCAGCTGGATGGGGAAGTGGGGAAGAAGGAAACGGGAACAGACGTGGGAGACTGCTCCTTAGAGAAAACGTAATGATTTCCTGATCATTGGTTGGTCGATTATTGTAAGGTTGAAAGAGAGTATGTTCAGGAATTCTCCCAGATTCTGGAAAGCTTGGGGACTGGTGGTGTCATGGAGAGAATGAAGGAAAAAAACTAAAAAACTCAAGGGGAAGAAAGACATGTTAGTTGCAAAATCGACAGGAAAAGTACTGATCACATATTAAACAAAAAACCAAAAAACAAAACCCAAACCTATTGCCGTTAAGTTGATTCCAACTCATAGCTACCCTACAGGACAGAGTAGAGCTGCCCCATAGGGTTTCCAAAGCTGTAATCTTTATGGAAGCCCACTGCCACATCTTTCTTCGCGGAGCTGCTGGTGGGTTTGAATCGGGCCTTTCAGTTGGCAGCCAAGCGCTTAACCACTGTGCCACCAGGGCTCTTTGATCACATATTACCGTGCTATAAATGAGATGAAAGCTTTTTTAAAAAGCACAACAGAAGAGTTTCAGCTGCACGTAATTAAAAATCCAGTGATGCATGATGAGTTCATGGACTGAACTTGACAAATATATTCTCCCTGAAAATTCACCCATGTTGATACCAAATAATAGTGTGTGGTTGTTCTAACCTCATAGGTGAACCCTCAACCTAAGCTTCAAAGCTCTGACGCCCTGGAGGAAGCCAAGTTCACGTTTTCCAGCCTGGGCTGGCCTGGATGCCTGTCATGCTCTGGCTTGAGGAAGCCCCTCCCTCTGTGGCATTGTTGCCAGAGGAAGAGGCCTGTGGAGCTGCATGAAGAATGCAAATGTATGCTCTGGAAGGCTGGAGCACGATCTGCCTTAAATGCAGATGTCCTCAGAGTGGAGCATGGCCTTGAGCCTGGGGGGAAGCCCTGCCCAGGAAAGAGCTGAAAGCCAGGAAATCATAACTCCTTACTCAACACTATCTCCTTCTTCATTTCAGGTCCCACGTGTGGTGCAGGGAGAGATAGTCCAGTCTAGGCAGCTGGGGACCAAGGGCGACCATCTTGCACATCTGTGCAATCACAAGTAAGGATTAAAGTTGCTCTGACTGGCTGTGTGAACCAAACATCATTCATCTGCCTCCAAACTGCCTAGCGGCCCTGCTTCCACTGCCATCCCTCTTCCCGAAGTCGCTTCTTGGGCTTAGAGAGCACATTCACTTAGACTTCCAGAAGCTGGAGCCAGAAAATGGTGCGTTGGGGTATTGTTACTATAAGCGGTGAGGCTAGATGTGAATTGTTGGGGAACCGTGTGTTCCGGACCCTGAGGTTCCTCAGTGAGGTAAAAATGTGACAGAGGAGGCCAAGGGACTGAGCCCTAAGAGGCTTCCTGAGGCCCTGCTCCACGTCACTGGGCCCTCTACATATATGTGGATTTTCAAGCCTTGGATGCCTGGGGACACCTTTCCTTATGTGACTCTCAGGGCTAGTATCATGGAGTGTTAACATCCCTGTCCTGGGCGCGTGGTTCTCTGTGTTGAATGACAGAACCTCTTGACCAGAGTCAGAAGATGGAGCAGCTCTGGCTGAGGAGACCGCGCCCCAGGTCCTCCAGAGCCATCCTTGTCCCATCCCTGCAGTTTTCTTGGCTTCCCCCATGTCTTAGTCATCTACTGCTGCTGTAACAGAAATACCACAAGTGGATGGCTTCAACAAAGAGAAATTTATTTTCTCACGGTCTAGTAGCCTAGAAGTCCAAATTCAGGGCGTCAGCTCCAGGGGAAGGCTTTCTGTTTTTGTCGGCTCTGGAGGAAGGTCCTTCTCAACAATCTTCCCCTGGTCAAGGAGCTACTCAGTTCAGGGATCCCAGGTCCAGAGGACATGCTCTACTCCTGGTGCTGCTTTTTTGGTGGTATGAGGATGAGGTTCCCTACTCTCTGCTTGCTTCCCTTTCCTTTTATCTCTTGTAAGATAAAAGGTGGTGCAGGCCACACCCCAGGGAAACTCCTTTTACATTGGATCAGGGTTGTGACCCTAGGAATGGTATTACATCCCACCCTAATCATCTTTAACATAATCTAATCTTGCCTCATTAACCACAGGCAGAGATTAGAATTTACAACACATGGGAAAATTACAATCACGAAATGAAGGACAACCACACAATACTGGGAACCATGGCCTAACCAAGCTGACATATTTTGGGGGGTCACAATTCAATCCATGGCACCCCAGGCACTGGAGCCTTTTCTGTAGTTTTAAAACTACAGCTCCATCTCTCACACTGTGTGATGTGGTAGAAAATGGAGGAGAGTTAGTAACGGAAGGCCCTGACTGTTAATGGGGTCTTTTGTGAGGTTTGGTCCTCTCCTGAATTCATCAGTGAAATGAGGCAGGGGACAGTGAGTCCAGCTGGATCATGTGTGGGTTCTCCACATCCATCCTTTTGGAGGGATGGTGTTTCCTTGAGGCTTTCAGGTGTGTGAGAAGCTTGTTTCCCAGTCTGAGTCTTTGTCCTCCCACCCATCTCTGCCTAGAGCTGGTAGTGAGTCCTATAATTTTCAGCTGCTCCCCACAGTCTTGAATGGGAATCTAAAATAAAAGTGTTATTTTTTGCTAGACAAGCTCAACATATGAGATGGGGTACTTAACTTCTTGGGCTCACAGTTTCCATTGGAAGAAAGTTTCTAGATCAGTTTTGTGTTTCTACTGAGAATTTTTCAATTTAATGGATATAAACTTCTCAAACACAAAGGGATGCCTATTTTAACCGATGTAAGAGTGAAAATTCAAACGTAAAACACATTATTTCTCCTACTTTGTTACACAAAAGGTAGCTTGGAATTTACACTTGCTTTTTAATGAACAATTTTCCTGGAGTTTTTATAATAATACAGAAAGCTTAAATCTAAATTCTTAGAAAACTCCATAATACTGCATATAGTTGATCTTTTGTTGTTTTGACCATATCGCCATGAATGGACGCTTGGATTGTGCCCAGTATTTTGCTCTTTCAAAGTTTAGTAAATATAAATGTAAATTTCTAAGATCCAGGTGTCAGAAGTTTAGACATATAAACCCTTCTGAACTAAGGCAAATTAAATCCAAATGAAGGGGTTTTCACATGACTTTGTAAAATTATTATATGAAAATTACATTTCTTTCATGTTTTAAGTGGTTGCATTAAGCTTTTCTTGTCAACTGTATCCTCAACTCCCATGTGTCTGTCAGTTCATCATACTGTGGTGACTTCCATTTTGCTGTGATGTTGGAAGCTATGCCACTGGTATTCAAATACCAGCAGGGTCACCTATGGTGGACAGATTTCAGCTGAACTTCCAGACTAAGACACACACTAGGAAGAAGGACCCGATGGTGTACTTCTGAAAAAATTAGCCAGTGAAAACCTTATGAATAGCAGCAGAAGATTGTCTGATACAGTGCAAGAGGATGAGACCCTCAGGTTGGAAGGCACTCAAAGGACGACTAGGGAAGAGCTGTCTCCTCAAAGTATAGTCAAGCTTGATGACATGGATGGAGTCAAGCTTTTAGGACCTTCATTTGCTGATGTGGCATGACTCAAAATGAGAAGAAACAGCTGCAGACATGCATTAATAATAGAAATGTGGAATGTACAAAGTATGAATCTAGGAAAATTGGAAGTCGTCAGAAGTGAAATGGAACTCATAAACATCGATATCCTAGGCATTAGTGAGCTGAAGTGGACTGGTATTGGCCATTGTGAATAGGACAGTCATATGGTCTACTATGCTGGGAATGACAAATGGAAGAGGAATAGCATTGTATTCATTGTCAAAAAAGACCTATCCAGATCTATCCTGAAGTACAGTGCTGCCAGTGATAGGATAATATCCATACACCTACAAGGAAGACCAGTTAATACGACTATTATTTAAATTTACTCAGCAACCACTAAGGCCAAAGGTGAAGCAATTAAAGATTTTTTTTAACCAGCCTCTGCAGTCTGAAATTGATCAAACGTGCAATCAAGATGCATTGATAATTACTGGTGATTGGAAAGTGAAAGTTTGAAACAAAGAAGAACTGGTAGTAGAAAAATATGGCCTTGATCATAGAAACGACTCAGGAGATTGCAGGACAGAATTTTGCAAGACCAACGACTTCTTCATTACAAATACCTTTTTCACCAATATAAATGGTGACTATACACGTGGACCCCACCAGCTGGAATACACAGGAGTCTAATCGACTACATCTGTGGAAAGAGACAATGGAAAAGCTCGATATTATCAATCAGAACAAGTCTGCAGAACAGACCATCCGTTGCTCATATGCAAGTAGAAACGGAAGAAAGAAGAAATCCACAACAGCCAAAGTACAACCTTGAATATATCCCACCTGAATTTAGAGACCATCTCAAAAATAGATTTGATGCATTGAACACTAATGACCAAAGACCAGACAAGTTGTGGAATGACGTCAAGGCCATCATACATGAAGAAAGCAAGAGGTCATTAAAAAGATAGGAAAGAAAGAAAAGACCAAAATGGGTGTCAGAAGAGACTCTGAAATTTGCTGTTGAACGTAGAGTTGCTAAAGCAAAAAGAAGAAATGATGAAGTAAAAGAGCTGAACAGAAGATTTCAAAGGGCAACTGTATAAGACAAAGTAAAGTATTATAATGAAATGTACAAAGACCTAGAACTAGAAAATCAAAAAGAAAAACATACTTGGCATTTCTCAAGCTGAAACAACTGAAGAAAGAATTCAAACCTCAAGTTGCAGTGTTGAAGGACTTTATGGGGAAAATATTAAACGACACAGGAAGCATCAAAAGAAGATGGAAGAAATACAGAGTCACGATACCAAAAAGACATGGTCGACATTCAACCATTTCGGGAGGTAGCATCTGATCAGGAACCGATGGAACTGAAGGAAGAAGTTCAAGCTGCACTGAAGGCATTAGTGAAAAACAAGGCTCCAGGAATTGAGGGAATACCAACTGAAATGTTTCAACAAACACATGCAGTGCTGGAGGCGCTCGCTTATCTATGCCAAGAAATTTGGAAGACAGCTACCTGTCCAGCCAACTGGAAGAGATCCATATTTGTATCCATTCCTAAGAAAGGTGATCCCACCAAATGCAGAAATTATGGAACAATATCATTCATATCGCAAGTAAAATTTTGCTGAAGATCATCCAAAGCAGTTGCAGTGTACATTGACAAGGAACTGCCAGAAATTCAAGCGGTATTCTGAAGAGGACGTAGAAGGAGGGATATCATTGCTAATGTTGGGTGGATCGTGGCAGAAAGCAGAGAATACCAGACAGTTGTTTCTCTGTGTTTTTTGACTATGCAAAGGCGTTCAACTGCGTGGATCATAACAAATTATGGATAACATTGTGAAGAATGGAAATTCCAGAACACTTAATTGTGTTCACGAGGAACCCGTATACAGACCATGAGGCAGTTGTTAGAACACAACAAAGGGATGCTGCATGGTTTAAAGTCAAACCCCAGTTCTTGCTCGGTGTGACTTGTATTGTCCAATAAACAAGAGACTGAGGTGGGAGAACAGGAAAGCCACCTTTATTTCATTGTACAAGGAAACGAGTAAGTCGGAGCTGCTGCCGCCAAGACTTCTTGTCAAGGGCGGGCAGGCAGGTTACTTTTAAAGGGGTTTACAAGTAGGGAGTTCATACAAGTTACATCAGCAACAGTCTTAATCCTAGTACGCAGGCGCAGTGGGGTGTGCATGTAACCTCCAAGCAAAAGCAGGATTCACATGCAAAACTGAGGGGTGGAGGGGAGAAGCCCAGCAAAGAAAACAGGGTTTTTCAATACAACACTGTGGGGGAGGAAGCCAGGCAAAGAAGACCTTATTTTTAATACATCGCTGTGGGAGCTGTGTCTCACTCCTTCCATTTCTTTTTGTACATTGGTCATTCAAGACCAGTGTCTATTTTTAACTATAGCCTAGCTCAGAATTGTTTGGCATATTTTTGGGGAGGGGCAGATATGGGACCTAGGCCTTTCATTGTGGCTACTGACCCCTTGTTGGTTCATAACTATTTACTAAACATTAAAAGAAAAAAAGTAGCTTTTATGCCCTGTTTTGTGAATGTCTCCCTAAAAGATTCTCTCCGCCCCTGCCCCAGATTGTCTTAGGTATTGTCTTTATACCGCAGGGACCAGTTGATTTGTCTTTATGAGCCTTTATGAGTCCAGCTCCAGCTGGGTCACATTCTTTATGCTCAAGGGCAGGGAAT